GAGAGAGAGAGAGAGAGAGAGAGAGAGAGAGAGAGAGAGAGAGAGAGAGAGAGAGAGAGAGAGAGAGCACTTGTTGGTTGGTGACAGCAGCCATGGCTGCCACGGGGATACAACTTGAGACTTGCCACTTGTTCATTCATTCATTAGCTTATATATGATAATAATTGGAATTCAGAATTCTCGTATCATGTTCATTTTGCATCGTGTGTTGTCGGATCTCTGTGTAATGGCTTATTCATTGCGCGGGATTGCGATCTGAATTGAATTCCGGGCAAGATCATTGCATTGGTATCAATGCACCCTCTCGTTGTCTTAAAGTTGGGGACTGAAGGGAAGCCGGCGTGTGCAAAAGGCGGGCGGGTGAGATCGATTGGCAGCTTGAGGGAAAGACACCGGCGAGTTGTGGGCATGAAGGGGAGATTAGAGGAGAAGGGGGTCAGTGAGAAAGAAGAAAATCTACATGAAGCTTTCGTGGAGCATTCTCGAGCAAGAAATCAAGCACCACTTCAACCCAAGCCTTGTACGAGCTGCGTGTCGTTTGATTTAGTATGCCAATCTTTTCTGAAAATTTGAGCTGCTCGTTCGTTGATTCTCGTGATGCCAATAGGTATTAGGCCGGTCAGATAGATGATGCATGTGTAGAAAGATAGGGTTGGCCCGCCAAAGGCAAGTGTGGAAAAGTAGCTGCACGGGCATGAGTGGCGGGTTAAACAACCTGTCTAGCTCTAAGACCAGTACTGACTGGTGTGCAACGCCTTCCTGTCTGTGAGGTTAAAGAATTCCTGAGGATTTTACTGGCTGTCCTTGAATTGCCGGTTGGCCAAAGTTGGGTGTTGATCATAGGCCAACCAGTGAAGAAGCCCATAAAAGTCAATTGTGGGGGAGAGGTCAACCATAATTAGGTTTTGCCAGATCAAGGTCTTATGTGGCAGGAGTAGTCGAGGGAAATCAATGCCTTGACTAGTACTTGTGCCTCCCTCTTGGATTCTTCAGGACATGCCGAATGCACAGGATGGACCTGAAGGATAGGAAAGAGGTCCAACAGCCCGGAAGTGAGGAGTTTGAGGTGCAGAAGAAGAAGGAGAAGGGAAAAAAGGAGAAGAAAAAGAAAGAAAAAAAGGAAAAGAAACGAACACGAAAGGTCAAGATGGGAAGGGAGAAGAAACGAAGGAGGAGGAACAAGAAACAGATGAGGGAAGGTGAAAAAGTGGGGAAACAAAAAGTAGAATCCGGCGCCTGACCAGGGGCCCACTCACTGTCGGGCTTGGCGGAGTGAATCAGCTGTTTCAGTGCGCTTACTGGAAAGTGAGGAAGACGCTTTCAAGACTTGCATGGTCAAACTTGAGAGGAGGAAGAAACAGAGACAGCTGCGGCAGAACAGAGGTGAACGAATTGAGCGATGCCATGGGGGAGAAGAAGAAAATGATTGAGGGGAAGAAGAAGATATTACGGGACAGCGCCACCCCGATTGATGCCTTAAGAACTCACGTGAAGGAAATAAATAACAGCCGAATCCTAATCTTGTTGTCCAATGTCACCTTCTATACTGCTAATGATGTAGCTGCAGTGAAATCCATGGTAAAGCAGGCAGTTGAAAGGCAAGATAGATCGTCGAAAAATGGAACAACATGATTGATGAAGTTTATAGCACTTGGAGCAGCTACTTGCAGGACTTGGGGGAAAAGCTAAAAGAGGCGCCGGGAAAGATTCAAGGGAAGAGAACCCTGATGGTGGAAATGGAGATAGGGATGGAGATGATAATGGAGATGGGAAATGGGAATGGGGGTAGAGGTGGAAGGATATCTGATGAGGAGGTGAGTGCCCCCCGAGATAAGATCGAAGTGAAATTGGCTCCTACCTTCTAAGGGAAGGAGGATTTGCAGCAGTAGGAAGCATCGTCCTGCACCTACCTATATGCTCCGAAGATAGACTACCTAGCATTCCAAGCTCTTGATCGTGGTGTCATGTATGCAGGGGGATGTGGTGAATTGGGCGATTGCTCAGGTGGAGGCTGCCGGGTGTGGGAGGAATATGGTTACGTACTCCAGCAAGCCCATATAGATAAGTTTTCAGAGAAGTGAAAATGACTGCTTTGAGGAAAAAAATAGGGCCAGGCGGGCAGAATATAACATTCTAAATATAGAACGCAAATAGTGGAGGGGTGTTGCCACCTTGAAAGCACAGATGGACAAATGCTATCAAGTTAAAGACCACAGAGTGACAGAGGCACAAATTTTGAGCTACTTATGCACTAGCCTTGCCCCGGTTGCCCAAGCCCTTGATGTCTACCCTATCTGCAAAGATTATTGAACTAGGTTAGAGTCCGTTAGAACCATGAAGAGTTTTCAAAGCAGGTGTTAGAATAGGTCGGCTTCCTACAACAAGCAAGTTATCGGTTTTACCGGGACTTAGAAAAGGAAAAAGGGTTTCTACAATAAGCAAATTATCGGTTTTACTGGGACTTAGAATAGGCCGGCTTCCTACAATAAGCAAATTGTCGTTGGACCCAGATAATAAGTTGGAATGTCAACGGCCTGGGAAACACCCTAACCGAAGAAGACAAACTCAGAGATATCCGGACGGGCCTAGTTGGGAAAGATATGCCTAAACCCGATCTGGTTCTCCTCCAAGAGACCCATCTGTCCAATCTGAACAATCACAGCAAGATACAACAGAGGGTGGAGAGAACAGTAGGGGGATGTGCATTTGCACTATGGTCCAACAAAGAAGGCCAAAGCAATAAAGGGACAACAATACTCATCCCAAGAACATCCAAGATTATGACTGAGGGACAAATCCTGAATAGCGAGGGCGACAACGAGGATGGGAGATGGTCTTGGTTAGAAATTAGATGGCAAGAAGAAGAATTGAGAATTCTCAACCTATATGCACCTAACACGGAATCCAAAAGACTGGCCGTCTTTGAGAACATCAAAACCCTTATCCCCAACCCGCAACCGATACTCATCACAGGAGATTGGAACACAACCCTGGACCCCTACCTGGACCGGATATCAAGGACAGCACAAATGGGCCCCACAAGAGCGGGCACCCGGATTCGCAATCGGATGACAAAATTCAAACTCATCGACCCACTCAGGGCAAGGCATCCGGATAAAAAAAACTTTTCCCGGATAAGGGGGAACCAAGCCAATCGGACATCACTATCCAGAATTGACTACTTCCTCATATCTGAGAGTTTATTAGGCACAATTAAAGAGGCCGAGATCCTCCCATTTGCAGCCTTCAAAGGTCTGGATCACAAACCCATTCAGCTACTTCTCAACTTCAACTCACCCGTTGAAACAGGTCTGGGATTCTTCAGATTGAACAACTCCCTCATAACGACCGGAAGGATGGCTGCGGCAGTCACAGAAAACTGGTCCCTCAATAAACAGCGCAAGTTTGAACAGACAAACAGACACCAATGGTTCATCGACAACTACGCAGAACTAATGCAAGCAGTATCAGCAGAATCACGAGGTATAGCTAGAGACCGCAAGAGGAGAAGAGAGGAACTCCAATTCGTTATCTCAGTTGCAGAATCTAACCTGGCAGAGGACCCCTCTAGCGAATTTTACCAGGAATTACTAGCTGACACCAAAAAAGAACTAAACGAGTAGAGAAGATGGGAACTTAGAGGCCTACAAGTACGAGCAAGGATGACGTACTACACACTTAACCAGTCCATGTTCAAATTCTTCTTCTCTAAAATCAAAGCAAACGCAATGAACAACATGATAGAGGGCCTCAAAGACCCAATAGAGCAAGGGAACATCAAAACAACAGGTTCATAAATGGTCAGGATAGCCAAGGCATTTTACGCAGATCTATACGAATCGAAGACACCCTCACCCCCGACCACAACGAACTTAGCAGTCCGCCAACTCATGCTATCTTACCTTGACAAGACGATATCAACAACTCAAGCGGAAGGCCTGGACAATCCCCTAACCCTAGCCGAGTTGCACATAGCCCTGACCCAGATGGGAACTTACAAAGCCCCGACCATCGATGGCCTCTCTAAAGAATTTTGGACCTGTTTCTAACAGACCCTAGGAGAAGACCTGCTCGACTTTTTCAACAACGGCATGCTAAAAGTAGGCCTGGGCAATGATCTGAGCACCCGTGTGGTTTCATTGCTTTACAAGAAGGGAGACAAAGAAAACCTAAAGAACTATAGACCAATTTCACTACCGACCACACCCTACAAAATCCTCACTAAGGCGCTTGCGAACAGAATCACAAAACTAACGAACAAATGCTTCCAGATTGACCAACCAGGCTTCATCCTGGGCCGGTATATACTGGACAACGTGATGATGCTGAACGAGGCAGCAAAAAAAATCATGGAGAAACGAATGAAGGCTGCAATCTTGTTTTTTTACTTTGAAAAGGCCTGCGACCAAGTCAATTGGGATTTTCTCCACGCTTGTATGGAGAAAATGAGGGTAGGCCCAAACTTCAGAAATTGAGTGATAGTTCTCTACTCAAACGCTACAGGCAGGGTCCAGGTCAACAGGATCCTATCGGACACCTACCCCATATCTAGATCGGTCAGACAAGGTGACCCACTGGCTCCGCCCATATTCCTTTTCATTATGGAAGCCATAGCTTCCTTCCTTCGAAAAGATTCATCCATCGACCGCCTCACTGAACGCAATTTCAACCCGTTACACGACTTTGCCCTACCCACTGCACTTATGTTCGCCGACGACCTCACTGTCCTCATTCGCGCCAATAACTCTTCTTTCCAAGCCCTAGTAAGAGCAATGGAAGCCTTTCAGACTGGCATCAGAAATGAATGTTAACTGGGGCAAAATTGAAGGCTGGTGGCTAGCAGACGGTACCCCTCCCCAACCAGCCGACACTGCCACACCCATGTCATGGACGTCGGGAGAGCAAGCATTACGTTTTCTGGGCATCATGGTCAACAAGGAAGGAGTATGGCCAGGAATGGGCCAGAACCTAATTGTCAGGGCAATCACCCGCTTGGCCCTATGCAAAAATGCTCAGGCCTCACTAATTGGAAGAGCCCTTTTAATTAACACGGCAATCTTCTCCACTCTGTGGTACATGGCATCCATCTGGTCTCCCCCTGATGACGACATCAAGACGTTAAAAAACAGGGCGAGATTCTACCTATGGATAGGAGATCCCAACAGGACCACGTGTATCAACAGGGTAACCTGGAACCACATCACGAGGAAAACACAGGAAGGGGGCCTTGGGTTAATCGACCCCAAACAAGAGTCCATAGCACTGCAGATGAAATGGATTATTGAGATCCTGATCAGACAAACCCTCCCTTGGACCCAGATGGCTCTCGACAGCATCAGAAACCTGGCGCCCATAAACTCCCCCCCAAACATGAGGTCTCTACTGGCTCATGGTGAAGGACTGAGGAATCAAACCATGCAGACCTCGCAGGAGAAACCCTACAGAGCTCATCACAACCCCCACTCAAACAGCCACCTCATACTGGAGTCTTACCATCAAAGTCTGGCATAGAATGATGCCAAGTAAACACGGTTCACCAGGAAACAGAGAAGAGGTCCTGAGACAACCTCTCTTCTGCAACCCTTGGATCACTGACCCTAGCGGAGGGACATGGGCACTACGCACAAAAGATTGAAGATGGCTATCCTGCGTGGAAAAAGGCGTGTGGCAGGTGAAACACATCTAGGCAGAGGACAAAGGAAGATGGGCTACTGAACAGGAGCTACGAAATGTCTTAAAAGGCTGTCACTCCCTCGCTGAAAACCTAACGTTGATCCAGAAGAGTGTCCCAGTACAATGGCTCTCCCTCCTAAGGGAGGACTTCTCATGGAAATCCGGGGATTGGGGCATACTCATCTCCCAAACCCAGCCTACTAGAGCATATCGATTCGTCTCTCGAACCAACCCACTATGCTACCTATCTAAATTCTACTCATACCCCATAGCTAATCACAACCTACAAGAGCTGGAAATCCAGAACAAAGATCCCCAGTGCGACACACTTGAAACCTTCACACTGAGAAAAGTGAGGGTTTCAAAGTCCAAACCCCGGAAAATCTTCCAACCGGATCTCAGCATTTCAGACCTTGAATTCGATCCGAAAGAGTGGGTTTGGAAGCAGGGCAAATCCGGGAGAACGAGGACGACATTTGATTACGATGTCAAATTCGGCTATGAGCTGGGTCTGCAAACCACAGACCCGGACCCCAGGCTCAAAGGAAAGTGGAGGGAGATCCTGAATCTGGATCCCACGGATCCCATTTCCATCCCATGGACGAAGTACCTGACCATTAGACCGGTTAGGATTCGAAGCATGCAGTGGCTCCTAGCGCACGCATCGCTGCCGGTCAATCAATGGCTCCACAAGAGGAGGAAACATACTGACCCTGACAGCTCTGCGCTTTGCAGGCTATGCACAGACAGTATCCCGGAAGATATACCCCACTGCCTACTGTACTGCACGGAAGCAGCATGGATATGGAACAAGGTGCACGACCTATGGACCCTCCACTTCTCATCACCCCCTCCGCCCACAACTCCCCTGAACATTCTGCTCCTTTCCAACATTACTAACAATCTCAAAGGCGGCAAGGAAGTATGGTGTTACCTGCTCAGGAAGCTGCCTCTTGGGTAATCTGGAAAAGGAGATGTACCAAGACGATCGAAGGAACGGAGGTGGCAAGAGAAGAAGTGTGGGTACTGTTGCTGGGAATGACCGAAACTGAGATTCGATCCAGATGGAGGGAGGTGACATCAACAACGAAAGGCAGACCTTAAAGGATAGCCATCAAGAGACGGATTTTCATGAGAAACTGGCTTCTTCCGGTAAAGATTGCAACTGTGACGGATAACAGATTGATTTGGAAGAAATGGCATAGCACACCTCCAATAAGGACGGTGCACCAGTGATGGGCAAACTGAGATTCTCATCTCAACAGTATGGACAACTCTCCTCTTTTCTTTCTTTAAACGAATCAGCCGACAGAGTCACAATAGAATTCTGAGAGGAAAAGTGGAAGGGCAAGCTGACAGTCAATCCTCTGGATTGGGAGCAATCAATGCTGATCAGCGATCCTTCGGCCTGACGGGAGGAAGCGTGAGAGTGTTCACCATGTATCCCAATTTTTTACTTGCCCATGGAAAGGAACCGGACTAACGCTCCCCAGAATGGATATGGAGCCAGGACCATAAGGACCTGTTTAAAAAAAAAAAAAAAAAAAAAAAAAAGGGAAAAAGGTTTAGGGAAAAACTATCTCCGATAACAGCCAAGGGACAAACAGACTGTCGGTAATCTTCGAGGAAGGAGGAGTAGAAGAGTTATCTCATACTGAGATAGAGCACGGTGATGGCAATGGTGGCCAGACATTCCAAGGAAAGGAATTTGCCACTGTCGCAGTCTGTAGGGGAGGGCTAGGGAGAGGCAGGGGCTGTGGATCCCAGGTCAGGGATAGAGGTGGATATGACCTGCACTCTAGGGGAGAGGGGGGTACTATACCTTAATTTCCCACCTCGTAGCCCTATCACTATGCTACAACAAGATGACGGGAAGGGGTACTACCTCGTTGAGTTCGTGTCTGGACCTCTGTCATCGGAGAAAGTGCCAGCACGTACGTATGAAAGAGAGCTAGTATATGCTCTGCATGAGGCTTTAGATACCTGGAGGCATTACCTCATAGGCCAACATTTTAAAGTTTGTGCTCAATGTGCTGGTTAAAGACTGTAGCTAGGATATCGACTATGCTAGCCAGGTGGGCCAGAGAAATTGATGAATTTGACTTTGAGCTGAATCCAGTCAAAGGTAAGTATAATGTCGTAGTCGATGCGCTGTCCTGGAGAGCTGAATTATGCAGAACGATTGTCATTTACCTTGATGTCGCAAAAAAAACTGCAGCGAAAGATAAAAGCTGCTTATGTTGATGATCAGATCTTGAGCACTATGATCGCTCGAGTACAAGAGAAACCCCATGAAGTACTTGAGTATGGAGTAGCTGATGGGCTGTTGTTTCTTAAACACTGCGGACATATTATGCGTACTCAACAACGACGCGATCCGTAGTCTGATACTCGGAGATTGCCACACGAAAGGGCACTTCAGATGGAGAAAGACTTGCGTCATTTTGCTTAGATCGTACATGTCGGCCGGTGTGAAAGTTGATTATATTCAGTATATACAGGGATGCAAGGTATGCCAGAGAAACAGAAAGTACCACACCAGCCCCTCTTGGATTACCGAAGCCACTTCCTATACCATAGGACCTGGTGATGATGTACCCATTGACTTCATGGACACTAAGGTTAATAGCAAAAGTCAAAAGAGGCAAAGGATGGTTATTGTAGACAGATTTAGTAAATTTCTGTATTTGTTCCAGTGTTGCCCGAGGTGAAAATAGACATAGTGATTCGTGACGTTTTTGCACATTGGGTTTAAGGACAATGGTCACCGTTTGACAATAGTTAGCAATGAAGATGTAAGGTTTACGGGAGAACACTACCGTCTTCACCCGAATAGAACGCCCGGTCATTATCGCTGCATCTGGACTGAAAGTTGGGCCAAATGCATCTATAATGACCGGCCGTTCTATTCGGGTGAAGACGGTAGCACATGCAATAAAAGTTTATGGGTCAAAGCTAACCATGTCATCCAGTAGGCACCCTGAGACTGACGGGCAGATATAATGTATGAACAAGCTGTTACAACACACTCTTTTTGTACATAGATTAAACCAGATCAGAGAGACTGGGACGAACACTTGCCTAAGGTTGCTAGTGCGTACAACAACTCGATACATTTATCGACAGGCCATACACCAAATGAGCTACACAAGGGTCGGAGACCAAGACAACCCATTGACAGTTCAAACCATGATCAAATTTGGTTACTGCCCAGAGCCAGTGAGTTCGTACTAAAGTATGAGAAAGACCTTCAGAAGGTGCCAAAAAACATTAGATGCGCCCAGTAGAAAATAGAGCAAGCCAATAAGCGTATGCCACCTTCTAGATTTACTCTTGGGGATTTTATATGGTAAAGTCTGAGGAATTCATGTCGGAGAAAGGGATCTCTCAGAAAAGACTACCTGCATATAGAGGACCACAAGAAGTAATTGATGTGATAGGGGATGCAGCTGGTCTGTCCTATGGAATTGATATGCCTTCCCACCTGCACGCATATCCTGTGTTCCACACATTGAAGTTGCTGCCTTGCATGAGAGATAATTCCTTTCCATCATGCAGGTCGATGATTCCCCCTGATATATGGATGGCCGGTATGATATAGAAGGGTGATAGACGAAGATGTCTATAGATCCGGGAGAAGGGGACGACCAAAGCCACAATATAAGGTCATGGTACACCAGGAACGAGCTACGCAAGACAGCCCCCGACATCATTTCATACTATGAACAGGCTAAAAGTTACATTGCGCGGATAGGTGAGAAAGGTCATAGCTTTCTCCTTGGACCTCGAAATCAGGCCTGTGGGAGTGAATGGGTTTCGCGCATTTCTGCACCTGAGTTCCAGGCTCGGTCCCAGAATTCCCGAGGTTCCAAGTCCCATGTACCATAGTCCAACCGATAGGCCCTGTCATATAGTTGTAGGGTCCATCCATACAAAGTCTCCGGTGAAGTCCGCTGCCCGACAAAGTCCACGTCCCAGAAATAGCAGCTCAATCCGAGGTGAGTCAGGTACTTACCAGAAGTGTCAGACAACCACGGCCAAAAAGGCCAGGGACCAGTACCGTCCCAAAAGATTGGGAACTGCATCAAGTACGGAAGCGCTGCTACAGTGAAGCATCAACACAATTTCCATTCGGCTCCCAAAAATTTCCATGCGGAGAGAGAGAGAGAGAGAGAGAGAGAGAGAGAGAGAGAGAGAGAGAGAGAGAGAGAGAGAGAGAGAGAGAGAGAGAGAGAGAGAGAGANGAGAGAGAGAGAGAGAGAGAGAGAGAGAGAGAGAGAGAGAGAGAGAGAGAGAGAGAGAGAGAGCATACCTGTTGGTTGGTGACAGCAGCCATAGCTGCCACGAGGATACAACTTGAGACTTGCTACTTGTCTGTTCATTCGTTGGCTTGTAATAATAATTGGAGATCTCATACCATGTTCCCTTTGCATTGTGTGTTGTTGGAGCTCTGTGTGATGGGTTATGACTCTTATGAGTTGTGTGGGATTGTGATCTGAATCGAATTTTGGGCGAGATCATACCACATTTTGTAATGGATGGTCTGTAGGCAAGTGCTTAATGTTTGTTGCAAATGAATGGATTGTGTTCTACAAAACAGACCCTGATTGTGGTGAGAGCAGAAGTAGACAGCTTGCAGAGTCCTCACAGCCATGAGTTAACAAGGATCATGAAATACAGAGGGTGGATCACATGCAAGACTGCAGAAATGGATGGATGCCACTTGAGTCGGAGGGAGGGGGGGAAATCTTTCGCCTGCGATCTGCATGTATGGTGGACCAGCTCAAGGCATGAAAAAGGACTTGGCATTGTTGGCAATGCATTTCCTTGCTCTCCCCCCAGCAATCCTAAAGACTTGACCTCGTTCCTTCGGCGCTGACCTCGTGTGCTCATTGTCTGTTTGCCTCTCTTTCACAGAATCTTCTTCCTATTGATGCAGCCATGTCGATGAGCAAGTGCACAACCCCAGCATTCACCCTGGTAAGCATCATCCATATTATTCCAAAATTCAGGGCAAACAATCAAAGAAGAAGAACAGGAGGAGGAGGAAAAGGAGCACGAGTTGGTGTAGATGGAGGGATGGGAAGGCGAAGAGGAAGAAGAAAAAGAAGAAAGCATAGTGTGGGAGGAGATGGATGGATGGATGGGATGAAGAAGAAGAAGAAGAAGAAGAAGAAGAAGAAGAAGAAGGAAGAAGAAGGACGAAGAAGAAGAAGCAGAAGAAGAAGAAGAACTGCGTGGTTGTGAACAGCATTCTTTTTTGTTCTCAGTTGTCAGTAACTGTCATTCATGATATGTTAAGGGAAGATCTTAGATAACCTATTGATGTAGGAATCTGTGAGTCTCCCAAGAGAACGCAGAAAGTCCGACTAGCTCGCATTATCACTGGAGCATATACTGCAGCTCCTTTGGGGTACGATACTCATTTCAACAGGAGGCTGAAGAAACAAGGCAGAAACATTGAGGCAACTTCATTGCTTGAAGAATGTAAGTTAGACATTTTACCATGCATGTATGTAGATATTCAGGGAGATGGAGGGCAAGGGTATTGACTCTTTACACAGGAGTTACATGCGCTCCAGCTCCATCTTCTCGGCATCGAGGATATTAACGCATGGCAAGCGAGAGGATACCTAGCCCAAGGCTACATGGAAAGAGAGTGGATATCCGGGGCCTCCATCTTCCTAGCCCTTGAAGAATTGCAAAAACCTCTGGTGATATCCAATCGTAGTAAGAGATTGGATATCCGAGGCCTCCATCTTCCTGACTCTAGAAGAATTCCAAAAACCCCTGGACATACACTCATAGAAAGTGAGTGGATATCTGGGCCCTCCATTGTCGTGGCCCTCGAGGAATTGCAAAACCCACTGAATATCCACTTGTAGTAAGAGCGTGGATAACCCAACCATCCATCTTTGTGGCCCTCAAAGAATTACAAACCCCCCTGGATATCCACTCATAGTAAGAAACCGGATAGCCTGCCCCTCCATCGTCCTGACCCTGGAAGCATTACGAGAACCCCTAGATATCCACTCATAGTAAGATGGGCCCTCCGTCTTCCTGGCCCTAGAAGAATTGCAAAAAGCCCTGGATATCCACTCATAGTAAGAGAGAGTGGACAGCGTAACCCTCCATCGTCTAGGCCCTCTTAGAGTTGCAGAACACCCTGGATATCCACTTACAGTAAGAGGGCGAGGATGCCCATCCCAGAGATTGGATGCCCAGGGAGATCGGGAGATGGGCCGCTAAAACTTCACCAATTTGGGACGGGAGGTCATGTTCGGTGAGAAGTATTAGAGGGGAACTGTTCTCAGGTGCACAAAGGTGTTGAGGGGAAAAGAGTTGCAGTTAGTGAAGGCTTGTGAGAGGCACAATGATCCCATGATCCACACATGGCGTTCACAGCATCATAAGCCCATGCTTCACCGAAGCCGGCTTCACGCACACCAGATGTACACTGAAATGACATGAGAACACTGGAAATTGCTCAAAGAATCGAGTGTTATACGACATCTCATGTATCCATGCTTGGGTGGTTATGGCCGCCAAGCCTCTATGCCGCTCTCTCTCTCTCTCTCTCTCTCTCTCTCTCTCTCTCTCTCTCTCTCTCTCTCTCTCTCTCTCTCTCTCTCTCTCTCTCTCTCTCTCTCT